TTCTCTTATATCAGCCGTCATCTCAACACTCACTCCTCTCTCATATCGTCATTCACACACTCCATCCGTGTTTTCTTCGGTCCTGCTCTTACCCCTCTACCTTGCACTACCATTTCATACATCTCCTAGACACATGCATCTTCTCTCTACGCATCACATGTCACTCCACACATCCAATTACGCATCTCTGCCGCATGCACTCCTCTGTCATGCTTTACTTTCGTCGCCCAACATTCAGATCCACACAGCACGACAGTTCTGATGATCGTTTTGTAAATAACGAATGACTTTCTATGACGAAGAATCATATAATATTATGTAAAAAACCAAATATCAAATCGACAATAATTTAGTTAAGTTTTACGCTATCGAGAATGTTAAAAAACTCGCACTAAGCACACTGATCCCATTGGCACAACGTGAGTACGACCAACTATTATAATATTAGTATAGTAATTGCTTGCGGGATTTGTACCATACCAACCAACCATACCAACATAGTCAATACCTACATTGTTGCATTGCTCAAAACCAGTACACCAGGCTACTTAGACTTACTCTTGAGGCCACGACAACTTCTTTCTGAAATTACCTATTTGTTTTCGTCTCTATGTACACGTCTACATATGTTTCCCTTGTGTTTGCCAAATTACAGGAGAAATTCTTAGCTGGGGGCCGTAGAATGCGTTACTTTTATTTATTTATTAGTTTATATATTAACTGTACACATCTATGAACTGTCTGGTTACCTTTTCTTACAACGCTCTTTTGTGTTTTTGTGAACGTAAAATTTATTTACCTTATGACAACTTCGACTGTTTTCACTGCTACAACAATAGCTTCAACGTCTTTCATTTGTCATACGAAATCTACTACTCATTGTAAAATTAGTTAAGGGAAAGTTTTCCTTCTTCTGTTTTTACATCACAATATTATTATTGTTTCTAGTGTAAGGTTTTATTGCTGGTCAAATACTGAACTTAACAATTAAGTAACTGTTTCATACTTTCGCTTTTAAAATTGGTTATAAACAAAAGAATGTTTCGTTTTGAATGCTTTGTATGTCGGTGATTTTTTATTAGCATTGAATAGTTTTGAAATAATGGAACGACTTCCGTTAATTTGATTGGTTTTTTCTGAGGATTTGGGCTTCTTTGCCAGATAATAGAAATTCAAATACGTGTTCTATATGTTCTTACTATCATACTTCATATCATACTTACTATCATCATTCTACCGCGAAGTAAGCATGTGTTTAAATTTAAAGAATATTCTAATTATATTGGGAGCTATTTATGTAATAAAATTATGAGACTATTACAAATAACATACGTATTTTTTTATATAGATTGGTAGTGTAGTCTAGCTTTTTTGTTGGCACTTCAATAAAGGTTTTTGCCATTGTCACTGCCATGGCATGACTCTGGGACTAGCTGCAACAAATTGATGTATCACAAAAGAATAGTAGAAGAACGTAAGCAGTAATTTGTGATTTATACCTGTAAACAAATAAAGAATCAATCACGAAATAAAATATGTTTTGGTTTTAAAAAAAAAACCTGTAAAAATACACAAACCATATCACACGCCCATGCTGTGTTAACAATAAACAAATACCTATACGCTATACGTTATGTTTATATTAATATGTTTACAATAGTTTACGTTTCGTTTGAAACGTGGTGTTTCTCGTTACTCTTGCGTCAATCGTTGCTAAAGGTAATCATTCTGATCGCCTTGCTGGTCCGATGATCGGTGAACTTGACTTGTGAGTCGTGAGGCCAAGTTCAATTCTCAATTCGAGCTAGTACAATGATGTTGATTCAGGGTCTGGATGTGATTGAAATTCTTTTTCTTTTTCATTGCTTAGATGAGTGGACGAGCTCACAGCCCACCTGGTGTTAAGTGGTTACTGGAACCTATAGACATCTACGACGTAAATGCGCCACCCAACTTGAGATATAAGTTCTAAGGTCTCAGTATAGTTACAACGGCTGCCCCAGCCTTCAAACCGAAACGCATTACTGCTTCACGGCAGAAATAGGAAGGGTGGTGGTACCTACCCGCGCGGACTCACAAAAGGTCCTATCACCAGTAATAATTTCTTTTAAAATTAATTCTATTAGTTTTCGGCAAACACCGTGGAGGGGAGCTCATTCCAAAGCCGGAGGGTACGTGGCAAAAATGATCTCTGGAAACGCACTGTGGATGAACGCAGTGGCTCCAGGTAGTATGGATGAACTCTACTCCGGTGGCGGGCGGTGCGATGTTAAAAACGAGATGATGGGATCATCTCAAACAATTCCTCAAAGCACTTCCCATGGAGTATACGGTACAAAATACAGAGAGAACTGAAGTCCCTCCGCAGACACAGTGGTTCCAGAACCGTAACCTCGTAACCACATAACACGAGTTTCTCGCCGGATTTTCTCAGTGGGTCGCGTTTCCGATCCGGTGGTAGATTCTGCGAAGCACTGCTCTTGCTAGGGCCAGTGTTAACAACACTCCGGTTTGAGCCACGCGAGCTTACCTACACGTTAAGACGAAGCTGATATAGCCTCTCAAGGCTATCAGCATAGGTAGGAAAAACAAAACACATAACACGAGATAACTCGTGAACAATAAAAAGCAAAATAATTGATTGATTTATCAATCACAACTAGTTCACAGATAATTTCAGCAATTACTTATTGCAAAACAATCGATAAAGGCGCGTTAAAAACGTTAAATCATGATTTAGTCACGTGTTAAAATTTTAATATTTTCTGGTTAGCTAAGCAGTCGATTCTCGCACAATACGGGAACGAGTAAGCGGTGTTGACGTTTGATAAACCTTGGCACTGAAAGCTCTGACGTCAATCCGTGCCCTGCCACGGCGTTCTTGGTGCAGAAGGTCGGACACAGATGTCATGGCTCCCAGGTGTTTGTCAGTGCTTCACTAAATATATCTCTAAAGCTGCTTTCAGACTACGCTATAATATAATAGCGTACATCCTATAAACCTATTTATAATTATATAAAAAATACAATTCAAACAATTTAAATGACAAAATTTAGTGAAGTGAAGTGTAGTGACCCCAAAGTAATGAACATTTTCCAAATAAGATATGACCTAAAGGTCTCTGTCACCAGGTCACAAAAAAAAATATAAAAAAAAAACTCATAGCACAACAATATCGCCCACCATACATTGTTATGGACACGTTTTTTTATTTTTATTGCCCGAGCAGACAGATGACCATACGGCCCACCCGACGGTAAGTGGTTACCGCCCTCATGGACATCAGCAATGCCAGGGGCAGAGCTGCTGCTCACGCTGTTCACTCTATGCTGTACTATATATTATTGGCTAAGTATACGTTGCTATACTATATGTATAGTAGTATAGTATGGCACTATAGTATAGCGTAGTCTGAAAGCAGCTTATTTCGCACTCATTGAAAGAATTATAAATCTTTTTATATAATAAAATTAACGCATTAACAAAGACGTAGTGGTCGCCCAGCGATCGAAACTCCACCATAATGAATTTAAATTATAAGTTTGAACATTATTATGGTTCTATTGTCACATTTCTATAATCATTGTTCTATAATCCCAGATTTGGTCAAGGCATAGTCATATTAAAGACAAATAATATTATTTATATTATAATAATAAATAATATCTAATAACCAGATGGTGCGGAACTATCATCCGCACCATCTCGATGGTTGGCGTTCCACTACCTAGGCGGCACTGAAAATTTCGGGAATTAACGAAGTGACACAACATTACTTTTTAAAAATGTATTTATTGCTTTTCGAAGTATTCTCCGCGAAATTTGACACATTTTTCCATACGATGGAACCAATCATTGAAGCAACCATTCCATTCGGAAGTTGGGGTCTCCAAAATTGCCGTTTTGTTGGCGTCCACAGCTTCTTCAGGTGATGAAAATCTCTGTCCACGCAATTTATTCTTTATTTTAGGGAAAGTATAGAAATCATTAGGGCTTAGGTCGGGGCTGTACGGCGGATGGTCTAATAAATATATGTTTTCTTGCTCTAAAACCACTTTTGTTCTGTGCGCGGTGTGAGAACTCGCATTGTCGTGATGGAGGATGATGCGGCGGTTGCAGTTCTCTTTACGGAGTTCAGAAACGACCTGTGGCAAACAAATGCTAGCATACCATTCTGCATTAACAGTTTTTTGTCCTTCAAGAGGAATAGTCGTAACATGGCCGGTTTTGGAGACAAACGTTGCCACCATTTTTTTTGCAACACTCCGTGAACGAACAATTTTTGTTGGCTTTAACTCATTTTCGAACATCCAAACTCGTGACTGGTTTTTTGTTTCGGGTTCGTACGCGTATATCCAGGATTCGTCACCTGATACAATGTTGTATACAGCATTTGAGGATCCTGCGTGGAATCTTTCGAGAGTTCTGACGCACCAAGTAACGCGAGCCGCTTTTTGCTCTTCACAGAGCGAATGCGATATCCATCGGGAAAACAACTTTTTTACACCTAATTGTTCATGCAAGATTATTTGTATTTGACTCATGCCAATGTCTAAAGTTGCCTGANACGCAACTGTAAGCACAAAACACAATTTTAACACAATTCGCGTAAAGGATGGTTAAAAGATAGGATATCCTGACCGTCGAGTGTCGTAGGTCTCGTAGTCTCGCTGTAGGTCTCGTAATCTTGTCGTCAAAAATCCAAGTCCCGTATATATGCAGATCGCAGACGAATATTCTGCCGTATAATCCGCTTCGCTGGTTGACAATTCTTCTGATCAATCCGTCTCGTAGGAACAAATGTAGACGCAGGAACGGAGGATATCCAAAGAGAATTCGTTTTACGGTATAATTTCGTATATTTTCGATTTTTTACAAAAAAGGTGTATAATTACGGATACCCTCGATTTTACAAAAAGAGGCTGTTAGTTCGTTACGTTCGAAAGTTATGAATAATATGAATGAAGTGACACAAATGACATAGAACGTATGACGTTTATTGAATTTGTAGATGGCGCTTTCGTCGATGGCAACCATCATTAGCCAAAGGTATTTTATCCAGAACCACAATATGTATTGTTTCTGAATAGGACATAACGGTAACAGCTGACCCACTATCAATCTCAAACTTAATTCTAATACCGTTGACACACACGGTTTCGATTAATGGTTCACCTCGAAAAGAGGAATGTCTCCGGCACAGTTAGTGTTTGGTCTACCATTGACCAGGCAAACCAGGCCCAACCTGACAACAAATCACATCGTTGACGGACAGATTAACAGTCCGGAGCACGAGGGTCAGCGACTCCAAACCGGATCGTATCGGTTGTTCCCGCGCTCCAACTTGGCATACATACCGGGTGCAATCAACGCACTCATCGTGCTGACCGACTGTACCACTAGCTCGGCACCGGACTCGATTCGGGGTTCGGGATATGAGATCCCGGTAGCTAGCGCAATGCGCCGCGCTTCAGCAGGGGTTCCATTGCCTGTTCCGACGCCGGTCGATGATCTGGTCGGGGTGTGGTGGGTGCCGTTCGAGGCTGCGGCGGGTGGTTCGGACATCATAACCGCTATCAACGAGATAGAGAGTAAGCTCGCAATCGATGGTGTTGCGAGGCAGGCGCGTGCGGTTGCTGCTGAGTTGCACGGAGCGCAGTACCCGTCTGTGATGGTGCACTCGGAGCGCACTGGGTATGACCCGAGCGAGGTGGTCAGCGGTGGGTGGGTTTTGGGGGGTGGGCCGAGCCCCCGCCTCTACCCCGGTTCTCGGTACTTTGCGTCGGAATTGCCGATTGATGCGGACACTACGCGCTCGAGGCGTCTGATGGTTGGGTATAACTTCGGTGGACTCAGCCCGCTGGCCAGACCATACACGGGCGAAACTGCCACCCAGACCGTGCCGTCGGTTGTTGAGCCCGCCCATCGCGGCAGGGTTTGGACAAATAACAAGCCGGATAACCACGCGCCGGCCATGACCTTAAAAACAATGGACTCGATGTCAAGGGTGGCGACATACATGGGCCTCGTCATTACCGAGGACATACAGAGTGGTTTTACCAGCGCAGGTGGCGCGCGGGGGTGGTTCCGGATGTTGGTGGGAGCTATTACCTTGCAGACATCGCTGCTGTTTGCTCGCTCCGATCTGTCTCTGCGTGTGTGGGCAGGGTATGAGGCGGAGTCTACCGACTTGGTTACTCGGAACACTTACACTCAATATATCCGGATGGCAACGAATGGCTTATGTGGCTACGTCGATATAAAGATGATGATAGCCCCATGGTTCACTTGGGATGAGGAGTGTACCGCGAAATACTACGGTATGGATTTGCTAAACGACACGAACTGGCTGTCCTACCACCCTGTGCCCGCTGTACTAACAACACAGTGGTCTCGGAAGCTGGAGTTGTCCGAGAGCGGGACACCTAGTAGCTGTGTATTCAGATATGACGGCTCGCACAGAAGGGGACTGCTGATAACCCACGAAAGCAGCTACACGAAGTTGGAGGCGGTGGGGACTATAGATTTCGACAAGTACGCCCCGGTTGTCATTTACCCCGACAACAACAACGAGGTTGAGGTCTCTGGGTATGTGGGTCGACTGTGATCCTTACATCACGAATCACATGACGGGCGCACATGCGGCTCAGCCCAGCACTGTGTTAATGAGCGCGACGCCCGCCCTGACCTGTTATGTTTGTAAGTAAGTATTCACTTCAGTGTGTCAATAAACGGTGAACGCAACGTACGTGTCTATTATTTACTAGTGGCGAACGCGGAAAAAAAAATCAATTTGTGGCTTGTTTGTTTCTTGTTTGAACTAATTAAAATTATATGAACATAATGTCGGTCGGGCAGTTGAAAGAATTCGCGGTAAACAGTGGAAATTGGTCCTCATATGTTGAGAGATTAGAAATGTACTTTTTGGTGAATAAAGTGACTGACGATTTAAAATTACCCACATTAATTTCCGTTATGGGTGAGGAAGCGTACGATTTATTATCGACATTAGCCAGCCCTTCGAAGCCGTCACAGTTAACTTATGCTAATGCCGTGGCGATGTTGGCAGCTCACCTGCAACCGAAGCCCTCAATCTTGGCGGAAAGATACAAGTTTCGACAACGTCGGCAGCTGAATGAGTCAATAGCTGACTACGTCACAGAATTAAAAAAATTATCAAAAAATTGTGAGTTCGGCTCGTCGCTGGATGAAAATCTGCGTGATCAAATGGTTTGTGGATTAAAGAGCGAAATCATACGGCAAAGGTTATTTGCCGAGGAGAAATTAGAATATAAGCGTGCAGTTACGTTAGCTTTGTCTTTAGAAGCTGCGGAGAGGGATGCGATTGCAGTGGAACGTACGCCAATTGAGGAGGTTAACAAAATTAACTTCAATGAATGTTCAAGATGTGGAGACAGGAGACACCAAGCAAAGGATTGCATATACAAAGACTACGTGTGCAGTTCATGTCATGAAACCGGCCATCTACGAAGAATGTGCCCCAAAAAAGGGCTTAAGAACCAGGCGGAGGCAGCCGGGGGTTCACCATGCACCGGGCGCCGGGGGAACCGGGGTGCAGGCGGCAACAGGCGATCGTGGCGCGGGCAGCGCGGTGCGGGACGAGGAGGCCGAGAGCGGGCTCCTTTGCACTTATTATACGATCAAAACAACGATGACACATACAACAACTTCAATAATGAACAGGACGGGTGTGGAGAAGAAAATGAGCCTATGTACCAAATGACATTGAGTAATTATAAACCGGTGTGTATTAAAGTTAAAGTCCAAAATTGCTTGCTCAAGATGGAGGTCGATACTGGGTCGGCGTTATCTTGTATTAGCAAGAATGTTTATGATAAATATTTTTCTAAGGAGAAGTTACAAGCATGCTCATTAAATTTAAAATTTTACGATGGCTCAATCATTCGGCCTTTGGGGTTTATAAACACTATAGTGGAGTACCAAGGTGTTTCAAAAACGTTAGACTTGTATGTCATAGACAAAGGAACGACTAATTTATTGGGCCGACAATGGTTAGCTGAATTGAATATTCCTGTAAAAATATCAAAACCTACGAATTTTAAAATACAACACAGTAACTTTGTAACCGAGCACGCACGAGACTATAATAAATTAATTAATGAAATTGTTTCTAGACATGAATCCTTGTTCGACGGCACATTGGGTAAATATACGGGGGGGCACAGCAGAGTTAATCGTGTGGCCGGATGCGGTGCCTATTTACTGCCGCGCGCGACCGCTGCCGTATGCGCTGCGCGAGCGCGTCGATGCCGAACTCGACGCGATGCTGGCCGCCGGCGTCATCAAACCGGTGGACCACTCCGAATGGGCCACGCCACTTGTCGTAGTACGCAAAGCGGACGGCGGTCTGAGAATATGTGCGGACTATAAGGTAACCCTTAATAAAGTATTAGCAATCGACAGATTTCCGGTTCCAAAAATGGAGGACTTATTCAGTAATCTCAGCGGAAATAAATTTTTTACTAAGCTCGATTTATCTCAAGCTTATAATCAAATAGTCTTATCAGAACGTTCTAGCGAGTACACGGTTATCAATACACATAGAGGATTATTTAAATATTCCCGCCTCGTCTACGGGTTAGCTTCGAGCCCAGGCATTTTGAAAAAACTAATGGTAAATATGTTGAAAATGTCCCAAATGTAGTAGTTTTCTATGATGACATATTGATTAGAAATCAGGACCTAGACAGTCATTTAAAGTCTATAAAAGAAGTATTAGATATATTAGAAAGGTATGGCTTAAAAATTAAAAGGAGTAAGTGCGAGTTCATGGTAACAGAAGTGAGGTATTTAGGGTTCATAATAGATCAAAATGGGGTTCGTGTAGACCCAGAGAAAGTCAAATCAATAGCAACAATGCCACACCCAAATAACGTGACAGAATTAAAATCTTTCATCGGTATGGTAAACTTCTATTCGAAGTTCATACAAGATTTGAGTGTACATTTATCACCTTTATATGCCCTTTTAAAAAAAGGTAAACACTGGATGTGGGGAAATGAACAGACTGCTGTTTTCCTGAATGTTAAAAAGTTTTTGTGTAGTACAAAAGCACTCGCACATTTTGATATGTCTTTGGAGTCGGTGTTGACTGTGGATGCGAGCGCGCGTGGTCTGGGTGCCGTGTTGGCGCAGCGCGGGCCAGGAGGTGAGGAGCGCGTCGTTGCATACGCTTCACGCGCACTCACCACTCATGAATTACACTTCAGTCAGATTCATAAGGAAGCATTGGCGATTGTTTTCACGGTGGAAAAATTCCATCAATACTTATATGGGAGAAAGTTCATACTACGGACCGATCACAAACCTCTGGTGAGAATTTTCGGGCCTAACATAGGTATCCCGAGCGCGGCAGCTAGCCGCTTGCAGCGCTGGGCTATCAAACTATCAGCATATGACTTTGAAATCGAGTACGTTAGGACAGATAAAAATGTAGCCGATGCACTTTCACGGTTAATCGAGTCTCAAAAAAATGACGTAGCTTCCGAGGAAACAGACTTACCCGAGCAAACTTACTTACACTTCTCAACAGAAGCTCTGTTAGTAGATTATAATGTTCTTAAAAAACAAACTAGTAGTGATCCAATCTTAAGTCGCGTCTTAAGTTATATAAGGGACGGATGGCCCTTAGACATAGAAATTAATGAATTAAAACCATATTATAATAGGAAAAACGAACTTTACATTGAATTAGGATGTATAATGTGGGGTCATCGTGTGGTTATACCCTCTTCATGCAGAAACAAAATAATAACGGAGCTTCATGATCCGCATATGGGCATAGTGAAAACAAAATCGCTAGCACGTAGTTACGTTTGGTGGCCGGGAATCGACGAAGCGCTCGAGATGGAATGTCGCGCTTGCACCGTGTGTGCTGCCGTCGCAGACGCACCTTCTACACACGCGCCCCGCTCGTGGCCCTGGCCCTCACGCCCCTGGTCTAGGTTACACTTTGACTTCTTAGGCCCCATAGGTGGAGTAACTTATCTAGTTGTAGTGGATTCATGCTCCAAATGGATAGAGGCAATTAAAATGCAGAGGACAACGGCACAAGCGGTTATATCGGTACTGCGGGACTTGTGGTCAAAATTCGGCCTGCCAAAGCAAACGGTCAGTGACAATGGACCGCCTTTCTCGAGCTCTGATTTTCAGAAGTTTCTGATTCATAATGGCATAAAANTAGGTGGAGTAACTTATCTAGTTGTAGTGGATTCATGCTCCAAATGGATAGAGGCAATTAAAATGCAGAGGACAACGGCACAAGCGGTTATATCGGTACTGCGGGACTTGTGGTCAAAATTCGGCCTGCCAAAGCAAACGGTCAGTGACAATGGACCGCCTTTCTCGAGCTCTGATTTTCAGAAGTTTCTGATTCATAATGGCATAAAAAATATTTATTCAGCTCCCTATCATCCCGCCTCTCATTAGAGGCATGCAGTTAAAATTTGTAAACGTGCGATTAAAAAGGCATTAAAACAGAATTTAAACGTAGTTACAGCTCTGTGTAGATTTTTATTAGCCTACAGAAATACAGAACATGCAACTACCGGCGATAGTCCAGCCAATATATTACAGGGTCGAAGTCTCCGTATGAGATTAGATAATTTAAAACCAGAAAGGCAATCTCGAATTGTCGCGCAACAAGAGCGGAGCGAGCAAAACGCAGGGGGTGTGCAGCGACAACTCCAGCCGGGTACTAAGGTGTGGTATCGGGATTATAGAGGTCTGGATAAATGGGTACCTGGCAAACCAAGCAATTAGGTAGTCGTGATTACTGTGTACGATCTAGTTTTGGAACCGAGAATCATAGGCACGTCGATCAGCTAAAATTAAGGGTTACAAAAAATATAGATACAGTTGATACTTTTGCGTCGATTCGTAAAAATATAAGTCCCGAACTGATCGCGCAAAATTTAGACTTAAGAACACAATGACGTAAGTCGCTATCATTTCCCATGGCAAGTGGTGAGGAACCAGTGGCGGTGGTCAACGATTCGGAGAAGAGCAGTTCACCACCAAAAAATTGCACACCGGCACAAGATGCTGTATCGCCTATTCGTGGCAGCCCTATGAGACCCGCTGTGCCGATAGACAAGGGAGCATGTAGTATTGGTGGTAAGAGTATGAATGAAAATGTGACACCCAAACGTGAACGTCCTGTAAGAATACGCAAGCCATCAGTTAGATATGGATTCGAGGAAATAGATTAAGTATATAGTTATAACCTCTCTTTGTTTTTTTTTACTTTAGTTTGTTACTTATGCTTAGTTAAGATATATATATTAATTATGCTTATAATGTGTAGTAAATAAGGGTGGAGGTGTTATGTTTGTAAGTAAGTATTCACTTCAGTGTGTCAATAAACGATGAACGCAACGTACGTGTCTATTATTTACTAAACAAGTGTAACCCTTCGTCCATAAACTAAGTCGAGGTGCGCTGTCGTGTCGGTCGGGCCTCAAATCAAAAACCTAATCAAAAACCCGACAAAAATTATTTAAAAATCAAAGTATAAAATGCTGCAAATCGAATTGCCTATGTACATCTGTGATATTCCGCTACATGGTCTTGTACCTTGAAAACTTAGGCGTACAACACTCACCTGGAATTCCAATGAAAACAGAGGTTATCAACGAATCGACACACGATTCTGAAATCTATAATTATACTACAAATATCTCCCACAAATGCTAACCCTATATAAAAATAATCACCTACGTTTCATCAAAACCATTATTGTTATTAAATAACACAGGTGCATCTATTAGCTTGATATCAAAATAACCTATCGAAATATTACCTGAATTTAGAAGGTGTCGACCCTTGGGCATATACCAATCCAATTCAATGCACTAAAATAAGATCTGTGCGTTACGCCGTCAAAAATGCCAAAATGTTAAAAAAATCGTTTGGGTGGTAAAAGTTTCGAGAAAAATACCGTGCAATACACAAGTTGTGCGCTGGCGAGACAAACATGCCAGTGAAGACCGCATCATCCAGGGACTACTAGGAAAAAAGTTATGGGCGAAAAGCCAACTCCGCACAAGTAACCGGACACGAAAAAGTGATTATCTCCGAAAATCAAAAAGTGACCTTCGCGACCTGGACCTTCGGACCTTAGTTACAGAACGCTGTCACTCCCAGATTTTTGTGGTGAGAATTTTTGGAGAGAGTAAATTTTTCAACATATCTCACCTGAACACAAGGTCCCGCTTCCAGAACAGTGCGATAGGATCTGACTACAGCAAATAGCAGGGAACTCCTACACAAGCAACCGGGCACTTTTTGTTCGGCGGAAATCGACCTAGTAGGACAATGTTCTATAGAACCTGCTATTTGCAGAAAGCACANGAAATCGACCTAGTAGGACAATGTTCTATAGAACCTGCTATTTGCAGAAAGCACATTCACACTCACAACTAAACAAACAACACACACTCACTCGATTACACACACCAACACACATCCAGACACAAAACACACACAGGCACAGACAACCTGACAAATTTGACTTGTTATAACATTTATTTTTATTTATTTATTTATTTTAATCAATAGACGTGTGCCTTAAAATGTTCGGCCACAGAACGCCACCAGTAAAGCTTAGCAGCGCAGGTGAGAGCACAAACAGCGGTACTGGCCAAGTAGCCCCGAGGCAGAGAGTGATAGGAAGGGAGACCCAGTCCGGTAACTGACTCCCCCCTGGACAATCTAGGGCACAGACATCCGCGATAGCCACTGCATATATCGCCAAAAGGCGACACCCGACCAGCTCCGGGCACTTCTAGTGCGCCCGCGCGAGCGCCGCCCAAGCCTAGAACGGCGCTAGCGCGGAGGCGGACCAGCGTTGCCAAGGCCAAAACTAAGATTACGGACACGCGTAACTTGAAGACCGACATCCAGAAGGATGTGATTGACGAGCTTTACGCGATTATAAAGGCCGACGCTGAGCAAAAAGGACTAGGTAACCTGAACATAGAGCCAGAAACGGCAAGGCTGAAGCTTTGTCCTGCCCCGACCAGCACCAGCTCCGTCGATCAGGACATGAGCGACAAGCTCATGCGGTAGCTGGAGGAGCATTCTGTCCTCCTGAAGAAAAACGCACGCAGCCCGAAGCTGTCGAAGAGCGCAGTGGAGATGCAGACAGAAAGCGTCTCTAAAATTATGTACGCGAGTGTGGCGGCAGAACCCCCAAGTGGGCGCCTCCCAGTGAGGACAGCATTGTACTCCGTCGTCATTACCTCGAAGGAGGCCGGAGACGAGGTCATAGACAAGATGCGCAGTAAAATCGACGCAAAAAAGGGGGGGAGGGTATAGAAATAGAGAGGGTTAGAAAGGGGAGAGATACGAAAGTAATTATGGGATGTAGAACAGTAGAACAGCGGGATAATTAAAGAAAAGATAAACAAGCCAGGAAAGCATCTCATCGTTGAGGAAGTGAAGAACAGGGACCCCGTGCCGGTTCTGAGGGGAGTCTTAAGTGTCCGTAAGTAAGATTGAGGGCAAGGTCGGGGCCGCGCTATCCATCTGAACTGGCGAGGCGGAGGTACAGCTGAACAAACGGCCTAAGTTACTAAGCTGTACTTCTCAATCGCGTCCGAGGCGTACAGGATAATCAGAAAGGTCGAGATGACCAAGTAGGTAGCACAGGCCCTCACGGGGCATGGTGGGTTCTCTGAGTACTTGGTTAGGTTCAAGTGCAAGGAGAGCCCAGCATGCATCTGTGACCCTGGCGTCGATGAGTCAGTGGCCCACGTACTTCTAGAATGTCCAGTCTTTTGGCTCAGCACAATTCGACTTGGAGGTCGAACTGGGCCAAAGACTCGACGCGCGAGAACTCCCCAAGTTGATGCAAGAAACCCGAATGAGAAACTCGGTCCTAAGGTATGTCACAAAAATCATAAAGGTGGTTAACAATAGAAATAGGACATAGAAAATTTTATAACGTACAATATTTGTTAATATTATTACTGTTATAAAAAACTTAGATGAAGTAAATAGGATTAAGTTAACATAGAATAAGAAATATTAAATAAAATTCCCTTTTACAATTATCCTATATGCGTAATTCCTTCAAGATTCGAAACTATAATCGAGTGTACTGTACTAAATCCTGAAATTTACGAAGGTCTCATTTTAGATCAACGTTCAAATTTACTCATTACCAAGTCCATCGTCAAAGCTAAGAAAACTCGAGAATCAACATATCTGTCGTGAATACGTCCGAACAATCTTTATCCTTCAACTCCGATCTAAAGTTAAGATTGACACCACTCAATAACAGGACTAATTTAAAAAAAAATATTAATTTAATTATTCAATTAATATTAATTTAATTAATAAAACATTAATTCAGACGATATAAAATATATATTTTTCTAATATTATATTTCCCGATTGATCTCCAATCTGCGTCCCAATAACTACGGATAGCAAATATCGATTGATTTTCAAAATGGATCGCCGAACGATCTATTTTGTGAAGTTCCCTTCGGTGCGTTCCATTTCAAGCAGATATCATTATGACTGTGTTGTAAAGTTTAAACCATATTTTGCCTTTTTAAGCTTCAGAACTTTCCCTTGAAGAGCTAGGTATGGAGGCGGCTGCACGTAAATAGACTCTTCTAAATTACCATTTAGGAATGCTGTAGTCACATCATAATGGGTAATAGTCATATTTAGTTTTACACTTAATGCAAACAATAATTTTAAAACAGAATACCGCAATACTAGCGAAAAAGTTTCCTTAAAATCGATACCTTGTTTTTGAGTAAAGCCCTTTGCAACTTAACGGGCTTGGTACCGCACTGTATTGTCACTGTTGAGTTTTTTCTTATATACCCACTTACACTGCACAACTGTGTCACTACTAGATTTGTCTGCTAAATGATCGCATCTCATCCTCCATAGCCTTACACCATTCATCTCGTTCTGGTCCATTCATAACATCCTTTTTTAACATTTTGTAGACACAAATTGCCAAAACCATATCTTTCTGGTAGTTTTTTATGACGCTTCCCCGACACTACCATTTCTTCTGGCTGCTCGACCTCTGTTTCACTAACAGAAGTATACAGGTGTTCCGAGCTAGAAGAGTCTTCATCAGGCACATATCTCATCAGATGAGTGAGAATGATACCCCGCCCCGCTTCGCTTAATATGCAGTTTATTATGCATACAGTAATGAGCAGCATACGAGTCAGTCAGTGGTTAAAGTGCAGCGATCCACCGCGGTTGCCGACACGAATAAACATATAATTATACTGTGTTTTATTGACCACTCTGATGAGGTTTCCATAGGAGAACGCACAATAAACCCTCAACACCGTAAAAACCTCACACTGGTGACCCCGACGTGATCGTGCATCATATTTTTGGTGACGATGTATCCGGCTCAGCACGTGGGTGGCGCACTCATTGCGCAACCGCTTGTGGCGCCTTTACCACGAAACGAAGAACTTTAGCTACCGCAATTTCCCACATTCTCGCNATACTCTTCTAAATTACCATTTAGGAATGCTGTAGTCACATCATAATGGGTAATAGTCATATTCAGTTTTACACTTAATGCAAACAATAATTTTAAAACAGAATACCGCAATACTAGCGAAAAAGTTTCCTTAAAATCGATACCTTGTTTTTGAGTAAAGCCCTTTGCAACTTAACGGGCTTGGTACCGCACTGTATTGTCACTGTTGAGTTTTTTCTTATATACCCACTTACACTGCACAACTGTGTCACTACTAGATTTGTCTGCTAAATGATCGCATCTCATCCTCCATAGCCTTACACCATTCATCTCGTTCTGGTCCATTCATAACATCCTTTTTTAACATTTTGTAGACACAAATTGCCAAAACCATATCTTTCTGGTAGTTTTTTATGACGCTTCCCCGACACTACCATTTCTTCTGGCTGCTCGACCTCTGTTTCACTAACAGAAGTATACAGGTGTTCCGAGCTAGAAGAGTCTTCATCAGGCACATATCTCATCAGATGAGTGAGAATGATACCCCCGCCCCGCTTCGCTTAATATGCAGTTTATTGTGCATACAGTAATGAGCAGCATACGAGTCAGTCAGTGGTTAAAGTGCAGCGATCCACCGCGGTTGCTGACACGAATAAACATATAATTATACTGTGTTTTATTGACCACTCTGATGAGGTTTCCATAGGAGAACGCACAATAAACCCTCAACACCGTAAAAACCTCACACTGGTGACCCCGACGTGATCGTGCATCATATTTTTGGTGACGATGTATCCGGCTCAGCACGTGGGTGGCGCACTCATTGCGCAACCGCTTGTGGCGCCTTTACCACGAAACGAAGAACTTTAGCTACCGCAATTTCCCACATTCTCGCAGATGAAAAACAATTCATCGATAGTCGTCCCACAGCAAGCCAGCATTGCAGCCTCAACAGGACCATTGCAACCGACTCACCGCGCTTCCTGGTCCTACGGCATGTACCTAGTCAGGTCATAAATTCTGTCACATGTTTAATGTAAAATAATTGAAACAAGTTTATTCATTATGTGACCATTCATATACCAAAATGAACATAGATTCTTATGACACTAAAGTTTATTCAAAATTACCTCCGTGATTTTGAATACAGGCCTTTAAATCTGCGCGGCCAGTCGTCTATCGCAGCACGAACGAGGTCCATGTCAATATCGGCGGCTGCCTTAATCAAGAATTTCTTGAGTGACTCCAAATTGGGATGAGGCTTTGAGCACGCCTTTTCCTCCAAGTGTTGCCATATCTTGTAATCTAACGGATTCAAATCTGGACTGGAGGAGGGCCAGTCTTCGTGCCGGATGAAGTCGATTTCACGCGCCGCCAGCCAGTCTTGTGTGCTCTTCGCTCTATGAGCTGGCGCCGAATCTTGTTGGAATACCCAGTGCCTGTTATTGAACATGGTATGAGAAACAGGTTCCACAAGGTTCGTCAGGACTGTATTTTGATACACAACTGCATTCGTTTTTACACCTTTCTCACAAAAATGTACCTCTGTTAAGCCCCAATAAGAAACTCCCAACCATACCATGAGCGAGGATGGAAAATGACCTCGTTGGACACGCGGAATACGGTTGCTCGCTTCTTCACTACTGTGTGCGTACACCTTATCATTTTGTTTGTTGTAGCTCTCTTCTACGGTAAAAATTTTTTCATCCGAAAAAAGAATTTCCCGATATTTTTTTCCCGCGTACCGCTTCAACAAAGCGCGGCATCTCTTCAGTCTCAGGTCCATTAGACGAGCATTCAAACGATGTCCTGTTTTTCTTCGATATGCCCGAAGCCCTAAGTCTTCATTTAACACCCTTTTCACCGTGGTTCTGCTTAACCCCATCTGAAGGGCCAACAGTTTCTGCTTACGTTTGGGATTTCTTTGAATTCGCGCCTTCACAGCTTTTATCACTGCTGGAGTCCTAACAGACCGAGGGCGACCACTTCTTGACCTGTCATCTACACTAGAGTCTTCATTGTATCGTTTGATGGTACGATAAACGAATCTTTTGGTTATATTCAAATTTTTCAGTATGTTAAAAATTTGAATTGACGCGTAACCGCAACGATGCAACGCAATAACTGCAACACGGTCTTCTTTAAGCGTCCTCTCCATATTTAAAAATGAGTAAAATTCTAAAAGTATACATTTTTATTTTTATGAACAATTCGAAATTCGAATTCAATAAACTTTTTTGTGGCCAGCATTCTAAAAGAAAAGTTTTTACTGTGTGACAATACTTATGACCTGACTAGTTACTTTTACTGCCTCAGCACGCCGCTGCAGATGTTTATTGACTTCACTTATTCATTTCGTATTCTTCGTCAAATCAACTAGTACTAAATACAAAATGGGTGGACACGAAAGTAAGCAGCAAGATAATGTCGTTATTGCTGGTGCTACCCACCAAAAGAATGTGGAAGAGAAAATTAATACTTTCACATACTTATATATTACAGTGACTATCATGTGTGCTGCAAAAATTGGTTGAGAAAAGAAGTAAGAAATGTCAGCCAACAATAATAATTTAAAGAAACAAGAGTGGTTTTGCATAGCGGAGCGATTTAACGCAAATACTACTACTTCTTGTCATCGAACACCGCAACAACTAAAATTAAAATGGGAAAATTTAAAGAAGAACTGTCGCAAAAACAATTCTAAGATAAGGATGAATTGCATTAAGGCCAGTTTGAATCATTGTGACACTGCTATTTTCTATATTAAACATGACATTTCTAGGTATTGTGATTAAAAATATTCAATTTGTTTTCCAGACTGGTGGTGGTGTTGCTGAATACATACCTTCAGACGAAATATTGGACAGAGTGGGTTCATAATTAGGAAGCACAGTCAGTGGATTTGTAGTGCCATTTGGTGATGATAGGAAACCAGAAATGTTAACTGCTGGTTGTAGTGACTGTGACTGTGCTAATATTGACTCTTGTAAAGATGCCAGGGTTTTAACTGTGGATGCTAAAAATAACTCAACACCACCAGTGTCTTTGGCGCAATCTATGGTGTTGGATTGTGAGCTGAATGATAATAGTGAGGTTCTGGTGGCTCCAGACAAACCTCACCATGTCACATTTACTAAACCTGGAACAGGTAAAAATAATTTTAATTTAATAATTTTTTATGCTATAAAGTATGCATGTGTTTTTAGTGTTATAATAATATGTACATATGTGCATTCACTAATACTCATTATAAAACAAATTGAAAATAAACAGTTTGAGGCCACCTGTGTAAAAACCTATTGTTAAACGGCAATTCTCAAGAAACATTCATATTTATTTCCAGGTACAAAAAAACGTAATCGAGATGAAGGAAGATCAGCAAGGAATGTTGCAATAGCTGAGTATTACTCAGAAAAGAAAAAAGTATTTGACAAGCAACTTGATACAAAACGAGTTGATAAACGATAATATTAAATACGAAAATTAAAATCTTTAATTACAGTAATTAAAGATACTTAAATTTGAAAATAAAAGAAATGATAGTGAAAGTTGACATGGCGGAGATGCGCACGCTGGTCAACGACCTAGTGGAGAAACAGCGCAACTCGGCCTCTGCCTCCCCTCCGCCCGAAGTGAAACACGTCAATGAGGTTGAGGAATTGAGGTGGTGGCTCGCGATGCTGGAAACGAGAAGCTCCACCATAGACCGCGCGAGACTGTCCCTGGCCCATGAAACAAAAGGTGGTGCCCTTGTGCCGGCACCTCGCAAGACCGCGGCCGTAAAAACGCATAGCGGCCCCAAAAAGGCATCAATACCCGCGCGGGACCCCGCCGCAACTGCCTCCATGACTGCTGCTGCGGGGGCACCTACACCCGCCCCTGCAACGAAACCTCCTGTCCCGTTCCAGCCTGCGAAGGTGGGGCTCGGCAGGAACCGAAACAAAAATAAGGGGGGCGTAGTCGAGCATCGCCAACCGTGAAGACGATGGTCGACTTCTGCGAGAACACCATATCGCAGAAGAAGGCGGCGGAACGAGAGGGAGAGTTTTTCCCTTTCCGCGCCGATCCGTCGCCGTCGAGCCGGGAGCCGGAGGAGGGATTACGCCCGCACATTCTGGCCCCTGTAGGTGGCGGCTTCCCCCCCGATGAAGGTCACGGGGCGACCTGAGGGGGTCGAGGCCGCGCAGCGCGCTACCATTACTCTAGCGCGCTGTCATGGAGCATCAATAATACAGCAACCGGTTGGCGGTGTATCGCGCCCCGATCCGGCAGCTGGTTCTGGTCGAGGGGGATATTCCTGGACACCAGTGGCACCGTCTGGGCGGCCTGACTGGCTGCCGTACCGAGACGGCCAACGTTTCGGAGCCTTTCACGAATTCGAAGAAGAAGAAAAGTGCAAGTTAATCCAGGAATATGAATAGCATCTAAAAGAATTAGCAAGGACTGAAAAAGAAAATGACAAAAATAAGACAGATGGCACAATTGTAGTAGTTTACGACTTACAGGCTGTATTACAGATTCCTAAAGGACAAATAAATATTCTTGTTCTTCTATAAATCCAGGATCAACTGCCTTAATTTTACTATCAGCGATTTAAGGGCAAAATATGTCATATGTCATACTAAGGGATGAAACAGAGGGAAAGAGAGGAGCTATTGAAATTGGCAGCTGCGTACTTTCAACTACATTAAATCTAAAATTGACGTGATTTTCTATTCATATAATTGTGGTGGTCAACAAAAAAATAAGTTTATCTGCCTATGCCTACGCCGTCAACAAATTGCCAGTTAAGTTATTCACAAGTTTTTAATACGCGGTCATTCACAGAAGGAAGGAGATATAACTTACATAGTGTGATTGAAAGACAAATAATATGAAATTTGCAGTTGGGCTCAATTTATATACCAGAACAATATAAAACGTTGATTACCACTGCAAAAAAATACTGGAAAACCATACAGTTGTTGAAATGACCTACAATCAATTTTATGACGTTAAAGCATTACAGGAATCATGAGGCACGAATTTTAATGTAGATGTGGCGAGTGAGCAAGTCAACTCGCACATGGCTCCAGGAGCGTTCGTATTCAATGTTGATTTTGACGATCTTTTGTCTAGCGACATATACGCTAGAGCGCTTACTGCACTAGCGGCAAAAATACTTCTTCCATATAGTGTAGATCCTCGATGGAATGGTATAACCCAGAGAACCTTGCACGCCGTTGAGTCAGCCATTTTAATCGCTGGTACAGAGGCGGGAATACTTGAAACAGCTAACATTCCAGGAAATCATCCGTTAGGGCGTGTCGTCCCGACCGCCAACAGTGGATTAAATAGACTTGAATTTCTGCAAACTAATGACGCTGGACGCGGTTGGAGCGACTCGGGAGTTAGAAGTGGAAAAACCTAGTAAAGAAGAAAGCTTATCTAACTTTTTAGATATTTTGAGCGCGATCGCAAACATTCAGAAGTCTAATTCTGAGGTTAAAGTAACTTTTTCGACATTAGCTACACAAGGATATGGCCCAAAAGAATGGATTTTTCAAATTCAAGATGCAAATGAATGCCGCTATAAGGTGTTATTATTAGGTCCGGAACGAAGAGCCTACATTATAAAGAACCCTCTTTATACAGGAGTATTCTCCAATGTTGATGAATTTATCAAGTATAATATGTCATTAATTGATAAAATGGTTTTGCGTGCATATACGTTGATTCGCGAGCCCAACAGTGTAACCATCAATAATAACATTGTACTCGAGCCACAAAAGATTGGTTTTCCTCTTGATGAATTGACTGGGTGTGATATCCCAATTGAGCAAATACATATGAATGTTTCGGCATTTTGTAACACCGAGCGTGCCCATAATGCAAACTTTTCCCGCATTAGCCTTTTTGAGGGACTAAATCTTGGCGAAATAAGAGATGATTTAATTGCTATGCATAGAGACGTAATTCCGAACGTTCGTGAGCTTTTTGAGGAGATGGACGAGCATAGTTTAAATGGAAGACTACCTGAGAAATACCCTATCCAGATTAATAATACAGTACTATTGGGTGCAATATCTAATCCAGTTAATTTAAACCTTATGTTAACTGCTCATTATAATATACTACCTGAAATGTTTACAACGAGTGAAATATATATACTCTTTTATACTTCCAAGTGAAGGACCGCTATGCAGCTTCTTCGCCACCCTGAAAGCGAGTGGAGTGCTACGTGACTTAGGAAACTTTTTTGAGTGTGCTGCAGGAGCAGCGATAACTGACGTTTACGATCGAATTGTGCAAATGATCATCGATAACCCATTAGACTTTGGAATTCTTCCAAGGTTATTAAAACGCGCTTCCGTTCCCATACAAAGACTAGGAGTGGGAGGATAGTCCGATTCCCAATATACTATCGCCCGTAGTCACGGTCTCGCCGGGGGAGTAGTGTGGCGAGTGAGCAAGTCAACTCGCACATCTCAACGAAGCACAGAAATCATACGATTTTACGTCACATCGGGGTCACCAGTGAAGTATACATACAGACCATCTGGAATACTTCATAGATAAAGAAAAATCAACAAACACTTTGATGTATTGTTGAGGACATTGTCTTCTGGCTTCGAGATAAATCTTGTTGAATTCAAAAAGTTTTGTCTCGAGAAAAGAAGACTTTATCTAAGTCTCTACTCGTGGTACTAGATGCTGCTACTGTACATAAATTGCTTATTCACAGTACAGAGGGGATTAAGACGGCAATAGTTCCAATTGGACAGCTTTCATAGGAAGCCCAAGCTATCTCGGGCTTCCGATATTAGACCGAGGTTTTGAACCCAGTAACTGTGGCCACTAAGGCCTTGGGCAACGAGGGAGAGGGAGCAAGAGAGGGCCATCCCACCGTCTGTCCGCGCTCATAGCATTGGTGGAAATCCCGCGGTGGCCTTCTATTCTAAGGCGCGATACGACGAGGTCATCGGTTTGTGGCGAGTGATAAGCTAATAATCTATTAAGAAAATACATCACGGCACCGCGCGATCGCGGCACGTGTTCGGCAGGCCCCTCGTGCTGGTTTCCGAAGCTCTAGGCTCACCGAGGAGGCTGGATTGGGATTGTACACTCACTAAATAAACAGGATCAGATATACGATATTTTCAAGAGAATGTGTACAGCAACATTGAAGAATTATATATTGTTACCGAGTCCAGGTAACCCCCGACCGAGAGCCAGCGCTAAAACTATAAAAACGATCCCTTGCTGCGTGGTTGCGCCAGCGTCATAACAGATTTGTAGATAGATGTTTTTATAATAATATGGCAGCTATGACACTTTTACCTTCCCCTTCCTCACCCATCCCCCGCGCCCTGGATTGGCTAGTACGAGCGTCGCGGGCACACACAGAAAAGAAAAAAAGATGGCGGTTACCTAGCGCGCGCTCCGCATTACAGAAATCAGTTATTTTGTGATTTAATTATTGAGATGGCCTAAGACTTTATTCTTATACAACATTAGTGTCAGTGTATCACAGTGTCGTGCAAGATAGAAGATACACCAACTGGCTTCAAGCACTTCTAGCAGCCGTGATTCGGACGACTCCATCGTCTCCAGGTACGGCGTTTTCCTGTACAATTTCCCTCGGGTTGTGTTTCTATGTTTCTTCCCGCCACGGCCCGAGAAAGTGTCATAGTTAAACAACGCAAATACAGTCCACACTCATTTTTGTAATAGATGACCGTTACAATTTTGGTCTACCAACTGCATAGCGCAACCACTGCGCCTTTGCCTCTCTTTTGTGCGTGGCGTTCGTGTGTGCGGTTCTTGTTGAAACATGTTTGGGACTTATGTAATTTTAACAGTTTTCGTTAATAGTAAATTGAAATCATTTTGTTAGAAGTTTTGTTAATTCAGTGAAATATAATTAGGCCAGTTCTGTGTTATTTATTTCTTTTTGTTAACTACCTCACTTCTAGTCGATAATAATATGGATATAACATCAGATCTGAAGAATATTTTGTCACGCTTTCATACAAACTACAGGTACCACTACAAAATTTATAAAACAAGGTTTGAATATTAAATTACCCCACATACAATTACCCACGTTTACTGGACATTACGATGATTGGCCAATCTACAACGACATATTTACTTCACTCGTTCATCACGATAGTTCATTAACTAAAGTTCAAAAATTACACTACATAAAGTCAAGTGTTGCTGATGAAGCGGCTGCCCTACTCAAGCATTTATCTGTGACTGAAACCAATTATGAACAGGCATGAGACATTTTAAAACAAACGTATGGCAATAAGAAACTAATTGTTCATTCACTTTTTTTTCTTGCTTAGAGGGGTGGACGTACTCACAGCCCACCTGATGTTAAATGGTTACTGGAGCCCATAGACATCTACAACGTAAATGCGGTGGTGCACCTTGATAAAGGTCTCAAGTATAGTTATAACGGCTGCACCACACTTCAAACCGAAACGCATTACTGCTTCACGCCTGCCGTGGCAGATAGGCAGATAGGAAGGGTGGTGGTGGCTACCCGCGCGGACTCACAAGAGGTAGCGGGCCGAACCTTCTACGAGGTCCGGGCGCTCGGAGTATGTGAGACTAAACGATCTGCATGGTGTTGTGAGCAGACCGCGGGCCCACTCACTAAACGACTCCCCTGCACTCTTACACCCGACGTCCGATCCCCTCCGAGGTCAGAACCCGGATGAGGTAGGGGGGTTACCACGGTCAACACTACAACCACACGGCGCGGCTCACCCCAAGGACGCCCAGCCGACGAAGCCTTCGAGCCGAATCGAAGGCTCTGAAACGTCGGCCGTCTCGGTACGGCAGCCCGTCAGGCCGCCCAGACGGTGCCGCTGGTGTCCCGGAATACCCTGCTGGACCAGAACCAGCCTACCGGGTCGGGACGCGATACACCGTCGACCGGTCGCTCTATTACTCCACGGCAGCACGCTAGAGTGCTGGTAGCGCGCCGCGCGGCCTCTACCCCCTCAGGTCGCCCCTTGACCTTCACCGGGGGGAGGCCGCTATCTACAGGGGCCGGGACGTACGGGCGTATTCCCGCCTCCGGCCCCCGGGCTCGACGGCTACGGATCGGTGTGGAAAGGGAAGAGCTCTCGCTCTCTCGCTCCGCCTCCTCCTTCTGCGAGATGGAGGTACCACCACCCTGCCTATTTCTGCCGTGAAGCAGTAATGCGTTTCGGTTTGAAGGGTGGGGCAGCCGTTGTAACTATAGTGAGACCTTAGAACTTATATCTCAAGGTGGGTGGCGCATTTACGTTGTAGATGTCTATGGGCTTCAGTGAACACTTAACACCAGGTGGGCTGT